TAACCACTGAGAGAAATTGGAGGATAATAAAGTTTAGCTTTAAATAAAGCCATTAACAGACAGATCTAGCAGCTAGGTAAGATTTTTTTGAAGGGGGAGGAAATAATAGAACCTCAGAAAGAGAAGCAAAGCAATTGCTGTTGCAGTATCCTGGTGGTCAGGAATGGGACTACCAACAGCACAAACAGCCACCTGTACACCAGTCTCAAGGAAAAAAAGTTCTCATAATAATGACTTCTTCCTGAAACAAGGCTCCAGTAAAAACTGTCTCAAGCTTCAAGGTTGCTTTAAATGCATCATTTTGGTCCAATTGGTCTATTTGGTCCAATAAATGAGCAGCAACCCTTCGACAGCTGCCTCTACCTCACCTACCTCTTCATCAAACCTTTCTTCTTCAAGAGCTTCCTCCTTTAGCTGAGGTCCCCAGAGCTACTGAAGATGCTTCAGCCCATATCCTTCAGGGCAAACACTTCTCTGCATTCAGGACAAGATCCCAGAAACCACACAGACACCCTCACTCTTCTAGATGACCTTGCCACAACCACATCTGAGAACGGAGCCCAGCCCCGTCTGGGGAAAGAACTCCCAGTATCCACCAGCCCAGGTGCAACTGGGAATAGCCTACAGGGAGATGCAGAAGACAGGGCAGATGCTGAACCACATTTCACAGGGACTTACCTTCCCTTTCCTCTGCAGGACCAGTCCCTCTGCGAAGGAGAAGCACCCACGCTTTCCAACCCAAAACCGAGTAGATCTTACAAAATACAAGAACAAGGGACAGCACTCTGTGAGCTGCTGCAAAACCCAGGTGAACTGTGACCTAGAGTGCCTACAGGATTGACATCTGCTGGGGTGCGAGCAGAGGAGCACCTGGCTTTGAATGCAGTGCAGGTGAGGGGAGGATGAGGTATCAAGGTGTTCAACTCCATCAAGCTGAGGTCAGCTCTCAGCGCATCCACCTGTGCCAGTTTAAAGATACATGAGGATTTTAAAGTAAAATCTACAAATATATATATATATATGTTTAAGCATTGCCAGAGTTTGGGAACAGCTAATTACAATTCTGACAAGCTGGAGTTTTCCATGTTGAAGTCTTCCTAAATTGCTATGTTAAATCCTGTGCTTGCTTTTGACTCCTTTGCTAGAAGGTCTCTGAAAAATGGGCAATCTGAAAGACTCCCATCAATTATTCCAGACCAGATGGGAGACTTGCTAAGAAAAATCAAATTATTTTAGTTCAGTTTAGTTAAGTGGCAATTCACAGAATCACAGAATCACAGAATCCCAGACCGTTAGGGATTGGAAGGGACCTCCAAAGCTCATCCAGTCCAATCCCCCTGCCGGAGCAGGAACACCCAGATGAGGTTACACAGGAAGGCGTCCAGGCGGGTTTTGAATGTCTGCAGAGAAGGAGACTCCACAACCTCTCTGGGCAGCCTGGGCCAGGGCTCTGTCACCCTCACTGAGAAGAAGTTTCTTCTCCAATTGAAGTGGAACCTCCTGTGTTCCAGCTTGTGCCCATTACCCCTTGTCCTATCATTGTTTGTCACCGAGAAGAGCCTGGCTCCATCCTCGTGACACTCACCCTTTAAATATTTATAAACATGAATGAGGTCTCCCCTCAATTGCTACATTACATAAATCTGTAACGCTCTTTAGGCGCTGCTTTGTATGGCGTTGGCCTGGGACTCTTCTGAATTTAATGATAATGAATTTTTATATCTTAAAATGTCGAATGTGTAGGGAGCAATAGCAACTCCCGGCCCCAGAGGTTTGGCCCAGCATCACCACTATAAGTGCAATGGTTTTGTAAAGAAACTTGGCGCTGGGAAGGTTCCCCACCCCCAGCTACCAAGGACTAAACTTGCCCTTCAGCACCCCTGACGCCGGAGGAGGGTTTGAATGAATGCAACCGTGTCCATTGCTTGGTAAAATATAGCTTTTATTTGTTCATACAAATAGTATGAATTAGCAGAATTTCATTTTCCTAGAAACATCTTTCTCTGTGTAAAATTAATTTGTGTCGTACATACCACAAAATACTCGATTTACATTTTTTTTTTCAGATTTTCTTTTTTGTGGGTTTTTTGGGTTTTTTGGTTTTTTTTTCTTTCCATTTTGTTCTTTTTCTTACAAATTGGCTACTCTATAGTACCATGTTACAGACAACACATCACTAATACCTGTACTGCACTTCTGAATACAGGACTGAATGAAACTCAGCCATAAATTAATGTTACAATGTGAAAATAAAAAGAACTTCTAATTGCACCTCCAAGTTTAACTTCAAAATAAAAGGGGTTTTTTTTCAAAATTATGACAGCAGCACTGATTCCAGTATTAGCAACCAGATGTACACCACGGGGAATTCACCTTCATTGTCGTATTTGTTAGATAAGGCTTTATATTAGTCTAGTGCAGACTTCATTACGAAGGATATTGAGCCAGGGCTAACAATTTGCTTAAGGTTAGAAGAGTTACTACTCACTCTCTGTATTTCTACTCTCCAACGAGATTGCTTCATGTTGTGCAGCAGGGCTCGATTATCCAAATTAAGCCCACATCGCTGTCTCGCTGAGGAAGGCATTGGGACTTTAAAAAGTTGTTTCCAACAAAGCAAGAAGGAAGACGCAGGGGATGCGACATTTTCCAGTGCTGAGGAGCAGGCACAGGCGCTAAGGAGGGACCCAGGGGGAAGGCGGCCATGCCAGCACGGGGATCCCTGGGATCTTGCCATGCAGCAGGAGGGCTCAGCCAGCAAAACTACCTGGGGAGGTGGCATGGTCACGGCTGGGAGCCTGCCCAAAGGCCAAGTGGAGAGGACGAGCTTCTTTCCACACATTGCATAAGCCAGTTAGTAGGAAGACTGAGGTTTTGACACCCAAAAATCACCTTTTTCCAATAGGAATTATTTTCTTTCTCCCCCTACACCCTGTTCCCCTCAGTCACCCAGCAGTAGGGTTTGTGACAAGCAGACACAGTCACACATTCATTACCCATCCTGGCAGTGGGTAACAGAGCTGAGGACCTGGCTGGAGCAAAACCCACAGACCCCAGACATGCATAGATGCAACCACGGCTCAACATTTGCAGCCATCTTTTGCAGGACGGGTGTCCTGTGTGTGGTCTGTCAAATCACACAGCCCAGCCAGTCCCACATGCACCCCTGGGACCTCTGGGAGTGGGACTGCGTCAGTAGGCAGCATCACTTCGTTACTAGAAATGGCTCAGGGAAAAAGAAAAGAGGGGATTTGCCCAACTTTCCCTTTTTGTAGGAAGATGTGCTTGAAGGCAAATCCCAAGGAGGGATTAGGATCCTGCTCACCGCAGGTTTGCTAGGCAGCTCAGTCCTGACGTTACGCTCAACATCTCCCTTTCCTTGAGGACTGCACTGCACCCCATGTGTGAACCCCACCGAGTCCCTAAATCCCTGCAGAGATGTGACAGCACTGAGCCATGCCAAGAGCCATCAAGGTCACACAAAGGACAAAAGGGCAGTGCTTTGCCTGCAGATCCCTCCAGCGGACCCAGAGGAGGGTCTGCTCTTCACTGTACCCACCTGAGCAGGACCAGATCAAGACCCAGGAGAGCAGTTCTGGCTCTGAAGGGCCTTTTTGTCACCAAACAGCCACAGCAGAGCACTGTAAGGGTGAGGCAAGAGCATAGAGGCTGCAGAAGTAAAAGAAACATCTGGGAAATGCCCTTGAATGCAGCCCACCACAGCTGGGCATGGCTCAGCAATGTGGTGCCCAAAGGTGGTTTGTGATGGGTGACTGGGGAGAGATGCAGGGCACACATTTATACAGGCAATGCACATGAAACTGGAGCATCCACTCAACTCACAGATGCTCTGCCTGGTGGTGTGTTTGCCATTTTGAGTTTCACCTACACTGCCTGCTTTGTGCACGTGTGCACATGGTAGCATCATGAGATGCATCCAGCATGCCCCACGCTCAGCAAAGTAATTATTTCAGTGCTTGCAGGTGAGGTGCACGGTTTTTTGTTGCCCAAAAACATAGCCCTGTTTCTGTTAAAAATTCAAACAGCAAATCACTTTTGCTGTCACCTTGCTCCAAAGATGCTCCAGTGGAGCTAGCAAAGCCTCCAACAGTAACAATAAGGCATCAGACGCACATGGTATCTATCAAAAGCTCCTGAGCACACAAAACATGGCTAGAGCTCTCAGGAGACCCCCACCAACCTGCCCTAATGCCCCAAAGCATTTGGTTCCACCTGAGAGAACGATCTCCAGGTTATTGTATGTTGATGGATGAGACTTTAGGCAAACGCTGGTCCTCGGGAGACACTATGGATAGGGCACTGGATCAAAAAGTGATGGGAATCAAGAGGGCCAAGGCTGAAGTTCCCCAGTCTCACGCAGCGGGGGCTGCTCTGGAGACTCAAGGTAGCACTGAGCTCTATCCTGGGACACCTCCATGCTGGGGACAGCACCAAGCAGAAACCATTTCATGTGGCTCTGCTGGCACCTTTGGTGGGCAGACGCTGCTCCCTGCACTGCCAGCACTGCCATCTCCCAGCAGCGCCCCATGTGAATGGGGACGCCTGGAGCAATGCTTCTTCAAGTCCTTCAGCCCAGCATGTCACATATAGATCCACGTGCTTTTACATTTGTCCTGCAGTAAAGATTTAAAATGCATAGAGGGATTGTGGGAAAGAGCCTCCTTGACAAAAGGCAAGAAGGAAAAGCACACTGAGGAGACAGCTCTGCCCATGCACTGGGCTCTGAGGCTGCGAGCGCGTTCCCCTTGCGGCAGAGTCCTCGTTGTAAGGAAGGGGCTCTATGGCTTGGGGTTTCCCGTGCTTTGTGGCTGCTGGTAAAACGTGCTGCTGCTCAGCCGAGGTACGTGGGTTGTAGGGAGATGTCCAGCTTCCCTCACAATTCACCCCAGAGACATTCCCCCGCCCAGGGTTGTGGGACTAACTGGAAAGCTGTGGGACGAGGGAGAACAACACTGGAGCAGAGACTGGGACACCGCAACAGGGAAAGCAAGTGTTTATAAAGGCCAGATACCCGTAACAAAAATAAATTTGTGCTTTCCCTCCCTCCCTGCCCCTCCCCTGCCACCGTCGCTTTTTTTGATTTTTTTTTGAAGTACAAATTTTGTGTAGGAAAATGGAAGCACCATCTGTTACAAACCAAACCAATAAGAGGAGAAAATAGGAGGAGAAAAAAAAAGGAGGAGATACATATTAGAATTAAACACTGTGGAATGTTAAACAGGTTATGGGCTACTGTTCTAGCCAGTGCGGTTAGGCAGCTTAGTGAATTAATTGCTTAGGAATTAAAAATAAATTATTATAAAATAGATTTCTGTACATTTTACATACATATATATCTCTTTATATAGGCAAACCGTGCTGGGCAAGTAATTACAGGGGACTTTCCCACGCCAGCCTCAGTCCCAGCCGAAGTCCTGCCCCGTCATCTGGTAGAACTTCATGTTGAAGGGCCGGTAGAAGTCCCGCAGTCTCTGCACCACCTCCTGGTCTATGTCGGGGTGGGTCCTGCCTTTCGTCTTCCCCAGGCAGTGGGGTTTGCTGCTGCCTTCCGCCTTCTTCAGGCACGGGAACCCCTTGGTTTTGTTGAAGTAGAAGTGTTTGTCGGTGATGATCCTCTTGAGGCCCAGAAAGTCCTGGACCCTGCCCAGCTCCCCTGCGGGGTCGCTGATCAGCCTCTCTCCACTGACAAAGAGGATCTGCCCGATGGGGAAGTAGAGCAGCCAGTTCTCCAGGTGCTTGGCGTAGATGCCAATCTGGATGGCGCTCCACGAGGTGTCGATCAGGCCCGTAGTCCTGTTTTTGAAGGTCAGGCTCTCAAAGGTGGGGATATCGGGCTTCTTGGAGAGCGTCTGGGTGTAGTCCGAGATGGCTCTGGTCACGGGGTCCCGCACCACCACGATGAGCTTTGTGCCCTTGGCCATGGAGGAGATGCGGGCTGGGGCCTCCTTGGTGACGAAGTAGCTGGGGGTCTGCTCCATGGTGATCTGCCCCTCCAGGGTCCTGGGCATGAGGTCCCTGCCGGCAAAACAGGCATAGGTCAGATCAGCAGGTAGTAGGAATAAAAAGTACACATATAGAATCATTTAGGTTGGAAAAGACCTTCAAGACCATCAAGTCTAACCCTAAAACTAACACTGCCAAGTCCACAAATATATATATGTATATACACATCTATATATTCACACATAGATACACAGGAATTTTTCTCCCTAAATGCCTACACAGGTCATCTAGCTCATACAGATAAATCCATTTGCCATTGATTTAAGGATTAAGAGGGGATTATTATTAAAGGCCACTGTATTAGAAATCCAGCTGAGTAATCTCCCAGTTATTCATGAGTGGATTATCTGGGCTGAACTCTGCACCTGGAGCATGGCTGCATAGGCTCCCGAGCAGTCAGGATGAGTCCTGAGCTGCACCAGGCCGCTCTCCTGGCTCAGGTCAATGCCAGAAAGCCCCAGCTCCAGTCCAGGGCTTGTTTTCCCTAAGGGGATGAGAGGAACCATGTAGCAGAAAAGCAGGAGCTCACCAGAGCACGTCCACCTTGCTTTCCCTTAGCATCCCAATCACAGCACTTCTCTCAGTTTGGGTGAGAGGGTGCAATTTGTCCCCGGCAAGTGCCTGGCTTGGCAACAGCAGGACCTCATCCAACCGCAGGGGTGTTCTTGCACCCATTGCTTTACTCCCTGCTGCTGTGCAGATTTGTTCCCTAACACGCCCTAGAAGGAGCATCGAGTGCTGATGGCGGCACCTTCAGCACATCCCAGTCCAGTGCCCAGCGAAGACAACCTCTCCTCTCCCCCCTGCTGGCACGCAGGCTACAGCGGCTCAGGACACAGGATACAACCATGGAGAACACAACCTCAGCACATGGGTAGGACGTACCCTCACAAAACACCCTTGAAACAGAAATCCTTCAGCAATTTTACCTTCTTACCTGGCTATTTCTAATTAACCACGTGGGGAAAAACTAGTGAGCTCGTAGCAATGATGGATGCAGCATGAAGCAGAAGAGTAATTTTTTCCTATCATTCACTAGGCAAGCCTAACTATTTCAGACCATTTGCCAACCCTTTCCCTTTATAACCCAATGGGACTCAGCTGCTCTGGCTTGCAAGACGTTTTAAAAAAACTAAACAAATGGCAAGAGTCGGCCACTAAATTAAGGCTATAAAACCTGATTAAGTTCTCAAAGCATCCACTCAGCACAGAGAAATAACCAGCCGGTGTGGGATCTGCAAGTCCCAAACAATGTTTCCCTCAGACGTACAACACTGCACACAGAGGCTGTTTGTTCCCCAGTGGCCATATCCACCCTTACCTATTTATGCTTTTTTCATCATGGACCTTGCAATCAAAAAAGCCACTGATAATTTGTGCTAAAGCCAACGGCTGCCGCAATTAAGAAGCTGAGGGAAAAAAATGGTCCATCTGATCTGAGGCCAAATAATAGGAATGAGAGGTGTGATTAAATAAAAAATCACCACGTGCCTATGAAAGTTGGTTAGCAGCTATTTATGCAACAGCTATTTAGTTCACATCGTACCTGGTATTTTATTTCATCAGGTCCTGGCATTAACTTTATGCAATGTGTTTACTGGCAAGGGGCACCCCGTGACTACATCTCCATAGCGCAGGCGAGGCGTGCTTGGGGGCTGCCCATAAAGCCCCTTGTCCCTGGTGGGAGACGGTCCCCATACCGGATCTGCATGGGTCACTGGGAGCGGTGGCAATGGCCAAGCTGCACTGTGGAGGAAGGGGATCTTGGCTTGTGGAAACTCCCAGCCATGCCCAAGGGTGGTGGCAACCCCTAAGGCCATGCAAGTGGAGTTTCACATGCAGACAAAAATCACACTGGTCTACCAGACACCTGGGACGTGAGAGCTTCTAGGAGTCAGGAGCCAGCATGTGCTAAAAACCAGTGACCAAAATACAACTCTGATTAATCCTTCGCCTTTCTGGCCAACTCCACAAACCCGTAACGCCATCACAGAACAGAGCCAGTCAATAATGCTCAGACAGCAGCTCTTAAATCTATCATGGGCTGATGTGGATTTCGACAGTCTACTCATTAAGTGGTGTCTCTTTTTATGGCCACATTAAACCCCAGTTCTACATCCTGCGCTGGCCACCGGCTGCTTTCCAGCTTGATTTAAGAGGTTGGTTTCAACCCATGAAGTCCTTAACAGCCTGGGACCTGCCTAGGGAGGAAACTGCTTCCCAAGATGTGCTCAGGATGGCCGTGCTGCACTAAAGTCCTTTGGCTGCAGGTCAGGTCCATCAGATTCCTTGCTTCCTCAGGGCTCTACAAGGCCCTAAACCTTGAGACTGACTTCTCCTCCACAAGCACTCCAGTCAGGATTTATCAGTCTCCTGGGAATGACGCAAGGCTTGTTTTTCCCTCCTTGCACAAGGGAGGCATTGGGTAGGGCTGGGCTGTGAAACAGGAGGAAATTGCTGGGGGTGGAGGTGCTGAGTCAGTTGATCTGGTTGGTAAACACAGGCTCTTAATTAGTGTTTTAACAAACATGGAGGAGTGCACTGCAGAAGTGGAAGACAGCAAGGAGTAACTTCAGCTAAGAGGCCTCAGCGTCAGTCCCTCTGCAGAGCAGTCAGAACCTGAACCCACACACTTGATTTGTAGCTGAGAACATCCAACACGTCCTGTTTCCGAAAGAGCTGACAGCACTCAGTTCTGTGCAGATCCAGACCCCTCAAAATTGGAGAGCACCCGAATCTTTGCCTTTTGCAGAACATCTCACTGGTGACCCATCACCGCTAGAGAAGCAAGACAAGGCATATCACTGACACTGCTGCTGCTGTCTGGCTTGGTCAGCATAGGCTGAGTCGAGTCAGAAACAGAGCCTTCAACCCAGGAACGAGAACTGAATCCACCAAACCCACCTTCAGCCCCAGCTCCAGGCACTCTCTTGCCTTTTGCAGAACATCTCACTGGTGACCCATCACCGCTAGAGAAGCAAGACAAGGCATATCACTGACACTGCTGCTGCTGTCTGGCTTGGTCAGCATAGGCTGAGTCGAGTCAGAAACAGAGCCTTCAACCCAGGAACGAGAACTGAATCCACCTTCAGCCCCAGCTCCAGCACTCTCTTCCTTCATTGTACCTAGGCAGGTGCCAGGCATAATCTCAAGGGTCTTAGTTTTGGGTGATCTCAGACTCTTCCTTGTTTGAAAAGTGGCTGCATAAAAGCTAGATAGCAGCAAGTAAAGCCAAATATGTGGGCCATGGATGTGGTTTGAACTTCTGACAGCATTGCATCCAGAAAAGCAACGTTTCATTGCATGAGTCTGTCTGTTGTGAGGAGCTTTCCCATGCTTTCCATAATCTCCCATAGAGGCACCAGTTGTTATGCTGGAAGCCAGAGACTGCAGAGCCTCAGGGACAGGAGGAACTGGTAAATTGGCTGGTCTGAACTCACACAGGTGGAAAAGTCACCAAGAAGTGTTCATTCCCATTCAAACCACAACTGGAAAAGGGCAATTTTGCCCACGTATAGCACTGCAGCTCCAACACAACACGCTGGACCTACGTGTTGGGGGAAGCAGGACCAGACTCCAGCTCTGAACACATCTGCTCCTTCGGCTCCAAGACAGCAAGGGCTGCACTAAACAAGAGCCATTGCAGAAGGATGGGAGAAAGGAGCTGTAACGGTCAGAAGAGCTGGAGCTACCATGCCCTGGCAGGATGCAACCCCTTTGGGCAAAAGGAACAGCAGGAACCCACATTCAGCTCAATGGTGTGTGCACAGTCCAGCCCTGGGGCAGCTCGTGACAGCTCTGGAGTCCTCTATTCCCACAGAAGCTTCACAGGCACAGGAGAGACCTGAACAGCTTGTTTGGCGCAGGATAACAACGGCAGAAGTGCAGCTACCACCACTGTCTGTATGGGAGAAGAAAGGGAGATGATAAAGGGAGTCAGGCTGTGGGAAACAGGGAGCTCAGCTGAGCCCTCGGACAAAAGGACCTGCACCAGTCGGGACAGGGCTGCACAGAGACACCACTGAGGGCTGCAGTGGATAGTGCAGTGGCAAATAAAGACAGTATGAAAAGCTTGGCAAGCTCCTGCCTCATTATCCTCTTGTCCTCTGGCAACCTGGAGTTCAAAGACCTCTAGAGTCTGCACCTGGATCCAAATCATCCACTTCATAGTGACTGAATTGTCTGGTCCTTTCAAACCCATGAATACTTCTGGCCTTGAGAACATCCCTCAGCAGAGTCCCAGCACTGAAGCGCTGCCTTCACCCATCGTTTGAACCCTCTCCCTTCATCCCTGCTTGGGAAGGGATGAGGCGCCTTCCTTCTGAGTGTGGAAGAGGAAGGTGAGGATGAGGAGCACCAGCAGAGTCCCGGCATCCCTGATTCTCCATTGAGCTGGTGGGGCTCAGCATGGCTCTGCTGACTGCAGCAAAGCTGCCAGCAGCACCGGGGGTCCCAGTGAGAGGAGGGAGCTGCTGCATGAGCACAGCTATGAATTTTCCATAGGCAGAGAGCAGAGCACCTAACCCTGAGCTATTAACATGTCAAGAGGGACAGAGGAAAAGCTTTTCCTTTAATGAATATTTCCTCAGTGAAGCCTGCACCCTTCGTAGGCAAAGTGATAGGCTTAGTCTAAAGATGGATTGGCCTACTTTACCTATTAACCACTTAGACTAATGTAATAAAGGCTCTCTCTATTCAAACAGCCCTAATCCCCAGCCCCACGCAGCTCTGAAGCCTGGAATAAGAAGGGATGCTAAAACAAACTCCACCAGGCTGCTACTTGGAGAGGCACTGGAGGGGAAGGGAATTATTTTTTTTAATTTTTTTTTAAGCATAAACTCCAATGTGAAAAACTGGACACAGAGTGATATAAATTTACAAAGTGGGGCTGACAGGTGGCTACAGGGTAATCCAATCCCGAAGCCTAATGCCCTTTGTGGCAGCTTTTGTCTGTGCAGAGGGGCTCCAGGCTAATCTGCTGCCACTTCTCAAGGAAGGATGGCGAGGGGTTG